TGATCCCAGGAGGTCTCCGCTACAAGCGGCGAGATATCCTATTCATCAGATATCAGTTGGTCCTTGCTGTGTTTGATTTGATTTAAAATGGGATAATAAAAACTATTAATAATTTTGTGAAAATTTTCCTCGAACTTCTCTCTCCCTTCAAATCAAAATTAACCTAAATTAGGGAGGCATTTGGCATTGGTGCTGGGAATATCGCATCGTTTTATGAGAAAAACGGTGTTTGGCATGTGGAGTTGTAATGGTGCTTATTTTTTGTTTGGAATCTATGCTGCCGTATAGGCTGTTTTCTAAGAAAATAACATTGGTTTTGTTTGGCATTAGGTAGAAACGTTCTCAACATGGTCTATGTTATCCAATGTCCAAAATGATGCCACATCATTGCACCATTGGTAGTAACACATCATTTTCTTATGCCGTTGCTCCAGAAAATGGTGCCACATCAGCGCCACATTGGAAAGAAAGATGCTCTGGGAAATGGGCATTTGTTTGGAAACCATTTTTCCATAAAAAATGGTGCTCCAAGCCACACCTTGGAAATCGGGAAGGCATGGCTTAGAGCAGTTCCAAACTCGACGTTTTCTGGAGCTACAGCTTGTGAGGTGGCACTGGATAATGGGTATCCATGCTGAAAACGTTTCCTGGAGCATTGGAACCAAACAGAAAAAGTTGTTGTTACTCCAGGAAACGTCCTACCTGGCAGCAATGGTTCCAAACAAAAAAAAAAAGACACCATTTTCATTCTCAGAAAACAGTGTTTCCAACTCACACATTAGCAGCACTGCATCATCGATGCCAAACATATACTTATAAAATATTGAATTTGACATTTCTCCATATCACATTTTTCCGATTTCCAAGGTATGATCTGAATCAGAGCAACGTTTTTTACGATACCAAACAAGAGGGAATTGTTTGAAGTACCACTTTCTCTGATGTGGCACTTATGTGTGCACCATTTTCTAAGAAAACGGTATCGATGCCAAACACCCACTAAGTTTGATTATCCCCAGTTCCCCTACCCTGCAACAGTTACAATGTATTCTTACATGATTCTTGATGATGGCGGATTTGGCCCTCCAATGATATTGTGACATGTGGCACCTCGGAACAACTAGGTGACAGAACCACTTAGGCAACAACTTGTCTTAGCCAAGTTGATGGTGTCCCACCTGGCGGCCTGGCTCAGGCGTGACCTAGCGGCCTGGCCCTGGTGCGAGCTGGCAGCCTGGCATTGGCGCGACCTGGTGGCCTGGCCCTGGCGTGAGCTGGCAGCCTGGCATTGGCACGACCTGGCGGCCTGGCCTTGGCGCGACCTGGCTGCCTGGCCCTGGCGCGAGCTGGCTGCTTGGCATAGTCACGACCTGGCGGCCTGGCCCAGGCGCCGACCTGGCGACCTAGCACATGTGCCGACTTGGCGACTTGCAAAACGTGCTCGCCAACAAATTCGGCATGCATATCCTAACACTCCCACGATCCTTGGAAGTTGGCCCACGTACCGAACGATCCGGAGGGTGGTTAACGTGCATGGCGGTTACCTCCAGGAATCTCGAACCACGTAGACGACCTTGTAGAAATCTCGGATATGGTGCGTGAAGCCCATGCCAAACAATGCCTATATAAAGGCACCAACCCCAATGGAAAGAATAAAAAAGTAAGCAAGTAAACAAATTCTAGCTCTCATACTTTGTGATTTTTAGCTCGCAGTCTACTATGAGAGTACTTAATTAAGCATCGGAGCAACCTCGCTGGGTTAGCCACACTGGGTTCTCTGACATTTGGTTCCTTGCAGGTCTCTAAAGAGCAACGAAGCTCATCAATCCAGTTCAGCACCTGGGCAGCCCGACACCTCACAGGCAGCTCGACACCTCACAAGCAGTTCGACACCTAGTCAGCCCGACACCTCATAGGCAGCTCGGCACCTCACAGGCAGCTCGACACCTGATCAGCCCGGCATCTCACAGGCAGCCTGGCACCTAGGCAGCTTAGCACCTCACAGGCAGCTCGACACCTGGTCAGCCCGGCACCTCACAGGCAACCCAACACCTCACAGGCAGCTCGGCACCTGGTCAGCCCGACACCTCACAGGTAGCTCGGCACCTCACAGGCAGATCGACACCTGGTCAGCCTGACACCTCACAGGCAGCTCGCCACCTGGTCATCTCGGCACCTCATAGGCAGCTCGACACTATAGTCAGCTCGCCACCTAGCCTGCCCAGCTCGATTCAGCTCGGCAGCCAACATTCTCCACTTCGGCCTGAGTCATCGGCCACTTGGAAGCAGACCAAATGACGAGGTACTTAGCACAAAAAATTGGCCATCACCCAAAAAATTGATCCATCAATTCATGCCGTCTTTGGGAAACGCTACAAAAAGCTAAGTTCTCATCCTCCGAAAGGCTAAGTCCTCTTCTTCCAAAAAGCTAAGTTCTCACCTTTTAGAAACTAAAAGCTCTCACTTTCTAGTTTCCATTTTGTATGAACTCAAAGACTATGCAGGAAGTTGATAGCCAACAGACTAAGCAGCTCTACCAACTTTATTTCAACTCAGATAAAGCCTCATCAGTCCTCTTCACGAGGTACCCTCTACAAAGATGAGCTCTTCGTGGCTTCCGTGGGAGTAGGCGACCAACAGATTGCATGGACGTCCTTGCCAGTCGAGCCTTCCAAGGCTCCCGTGCGAGCTGGTGACCTAAAGTCAGTAGTGCTGCTCCCGTAGGTTGAACTCCTAGTAGCTTGTTGTAGGAGTGGGTAACCGATGTCACTAACGAGGCTGATGCAGTGCAGTCGTAGCTCTAAGGTGCCGACCTGGCGGCCTGGCCTAGGCGCGACCTGGCAGCCTAGCCTAGGCACGAACCTCTGAGTTGATAAAAGACTTTGGCACCACATAAGACTCAGTCGCCTCTTTGGCATGGGCAAAATCAAAGATCAAGGAGAGTGGACTACGAGTCGCTTCCAGAGCCCAAGGGCTAAGGTGCCGAGCTGATAAAAGACCTCGACACCACATAAGTCCTAGATGCCTCCTCAGCATGGGCATACAAGTCTCAGTCGCCTCCTCGACATGGGCACATAAGACCCAGTCGCCTCTTCGGCATGGGAAAAATCAAGGGTAAGGAGAGTAGACTGCGAGTTGCTCCTAAAGCCTAACGAATTGAATCGACACTTACGAGCTCATCGAATTAGTCATTTTAGGCCAAAATGAGCAATCTACTCCTTTTGTCGAATTAGTTTTGGCTCGGGAGGGTGGGGGGGGGGGAAATCATTAAAAGTGAAGCAAAATTAAAATGATTTCAAGAAAGGATTAGATTAAAAAATACATAATACCGGAAAAACTCGTACCAATCAACTGGCAATATAAAAGCGGTAATCAATCTGGTGAGTTTTTATCAAAATTCACAGGGTTTGGAATGATTATAATTTTTTCTGGTATCATGTCTTGCATATTTTCGTCACAAAGAAAAAAAAAAAAGAAAAACTTAAAACCAATCAACAACAAGTTCATCAAAATCAACGAAGGATTTTGAATTCAAGTATTTACACATACCAGAATCTTCTGTACATCCTATGATATTTAAAACTAATGCAAATCATAGCAGCTATCATTTAAATGGATTTTTAGAAGGACTTGGGGTCCAAAGTAGAATTATGAAACATAAATTAAATCCATTCCCTCAAAATCTGCATAGTAATGAATACTGTATGCCGTGTAATATTGAACAACGAGAGAAACCATGTTTTAAAATCAGAGATTCAAATATGTACTATCTCTTAAAATAGATTGTTCTTGAAACCGACTCAAAGAAAAAAGAAAAAAAGACCAACTACTACAAATAAATTATATAAGAAAAAAGAATAATAGGTAAGACCTGTTTCGTCAGCAAAATCTCATTATATCATGATACCTTTGACTAAATAATTTATAGTTAGTCACAAGTGGGTCTTTGAATCGATGACTAAATTTCTTATATCAGAAATCAGATAGTGAAGATCTCCAATTTGTGCGGTAGGTATTCTTTTATGCACATGCAAAGAAAGACTAAAAAAAGTTAGGACGGAAGCTGGAAGCCAACCCAGCTTAAAACATAAATTGTCTGCCAAACAATAATCAATAGAAAGAAAAATGTAGAGAGAACGGGAGACAACCAACCCATTTCCATGTCATAAATTAGAAAAATTGATTAATGCATAATCAGGAGGTGCAAGACAAACAACCAAACAAAAGTCTGGGAGGGAGAGGGCCGGGAGAGATTTCATAACCGACAAATTAAACAACCAAGTAAGGCTCGATAACAATTTCATGGCATTAATTATTCAAGAAGAAAAACCGTAAAAGGAAAAGCGGATTGCTGGTAACTGGTTGACTTAGAAGATTATAGAGGCCTAATTCGGTATTACACGACCTATCAAATTAATTTGGCATCTTTGATAAAAAGAAAAGCTTTATTTTTGGGACTTCTAATTTCAACTTCAAAGGGTATAAAAAGGTTTTTCTGATAATGCAGATCTTATATATCTTGTAAATACAGATCGTCCAGCGAAGCATCGGGTGGATCAACTACATCGCTGCAGTCTAAAACATGCTAGTTCTCTCTTTTTTCGTCTATAAATTTTGTACATATTAATAGACAGCACAATCAAATTATTCATCTCTTTGCTTATATATAAAAAAGATATAAAAAGGCAATGTGTTTTCTTTTCCTTTCTTTTCTCGGTAAAAGGAAATAAAGAATTAAAGAAATGTACTGTGATTTCAAAACGGCAGGAAAAGCTCCCATATCATATGCGTTGCCGAGTGCCGAGTCCACCTCCGTCTCCACGGAGGTCTTCTCACAGTCCAAGCCCACCGGGCGGATTCTTTCTCCTCTAACGCCTAACGCAAACGGAAATCCAACAGCTGCATTTGCATGTTCTATAACCAAGGCCGAAATCCAACGGCTGAGTATTCGTATCGTAGGTCAATAGTCAATAGATGTATAAAAAGATCGTTGATTTCCCACTTAATTCTGTACTGTAGATAAAAAGACTTCTGCCTTGTTGGAAAATATCATTCTTTACGGAATCCAACTCTCTCCAGATTACAAATTACACGGTGCTCAGAATTTCCTGCTAATTTACGTCTCTCTCTCTCTCTCTCCCTCTCCCTCCCTCCCTCTCTCTCTCTCTCTCTCTCTCTCTCGTTCATTCCATCTTCCAAATAACAAAATCTTCCGCATAACACACACTCTCTCGAGTCTCGAGTCTCGGTCACATACTCAAGCGAAGGAAAATCCGCCCAACACCCTCGTCCTCTCATGGAGTCCGCGACACCATCCACAAAGCCCCCTCTCTCTGCTCTGTTTAACTCTTTTGTCGCCAACAGTCGACTAGGTAAACGCTTCAAACTTAGTGAGCGAAGCTCAACGTTCACAACAGAGCTACGTGCTGGCACCGCCACCTTCCTGACCATGGCGTACATCCTAGCCGTCAACGCCAGCATCCTTGCCGACTCCGGCGGCACCTGTTCCGTAGCCGATTGCATACCTTTATGCAACGTCCCGTCAATCTCACCTTCCAACTGCTCTGGCACCTCTCCTGACGGCGTCAGCCTCAGACTTGTCCAGCCGGACGAGTCCTGTAAGTTCAGCCCGGTCAACCCGGGCTACTCAGCCTGTCTCGACAAGATCCGTAGGGACCTCATCGTCGCTACCGTCGCTTCATCTCTCATCGGCTGCGTAATCATGGGTGCCTTCGCCAACCTTCCCTTGGCGTTGGCCCCCGGAATGGGCGCTAACGCTTATTTCGCTTATACGGTCGTAGGGTACCACGGCTCTGGTAACGTTCCCTACGAGAGTGCTTTAGCGGCAGTTTTCATCGAAGGCTTGATTTTTCTCCTAATCTCGGCAATTGGATTGCGAGCCAAACTCGCCAAGCTCGTCCCCAAACCTGTGCGAATTTCAACGTCGGCCGGAATCGGTCTATTTCTTGCCTTCATCGGGCTACAGAACAATCAGGGTATCGGACTGGTCGGTTACAGCTCGTCTACGCTAGTGACGCTGGCTGCATGCCCGAGAACGTCACGAGCGGCACTCGCCCCCGTCATAACGGCAGTGAACGGCACCGTTAGCCTTCTACCGGGTGGAGCCATATCAGGCGATATTTTGTGCTTGCATAACCGTATGGAAAGCCCAACTTTATGGCTGGGGATTGTTGGTTTCGTCATAATTTCTTATTGTCTGGTGAAAAATATTAAGGGGGCGATGATATACGGTATAGTATTCGTGACGGCCGTGTCGTGGTTCCGTAACACGAGCGTAACGGCGTTTCCCGATACGGAGTCGGGTAACTCGGCATACGAGTATTTTAGGAAGGTAGTTGACGTGCACGTCATCAAAAGTACGGTCGGCGCGTTGAGTTTCAAGGGAATAGGAAAAGGGTATTTTTGGGAGGCTCTGGTTACCTTTCTATACGTGGATATACTCGACACTACGGGGACACTGTACTCGATGGCCCGATTTGCGGGATTCACGGATGCCAACGGTGATTTCGAGGGGCAGTACTTTGCCTTCATGTCGGATGCTGCATCCATCGTGGTGGGGTCGTTGCTGGGAACCTCGCCGGTAACGGTGTTCATCGAATCGTCGACGGGAATCCGGGAAGGTGGGAGGACGGGTTTAACGTCACTCACGGTGGCGGGGTATTTCTTCCTGGCCCTCTTCTTTACGCCGTTGCTGGCGTCAATTCCGGCGTGGGCAGTGGGACCGCCACTGATCTTGGTGGGAGTATTGATGATGAGATCGGTGGTAGAGATAGAGTGGAATGACATGAAGCAAGCCATCCCCGCATTCGTAACTTTGATATTGACGCCACTAACTTACTCTGTAGCTTACGGATTGATAGGTGGCATTGGGACGTACATTGTCTTGAATCTTTGGGATTGGGGAAAGGAGTTCCTGGATCATAAATTTGGTAAAAGCAAGCTCATCAAGACGAACGACATGAGCGTGGCTACTTCTGGCTCAGGTGCAGGTATAAACGGTCTATCTTCTTCCATGGCTAATGGGTGTGGGGACAGAAAAGCATTGGAAGTCTAATCCTTCAAAGCTAGAGGGAGGGAGATGTAAGCTGTGGTTGGAATTGGATCACCTCACGCACCCTCCTGGCTATTAGATTCGGTCGTCATTGTATATTGCTTTTGATAGTCTGAGACTCTGAGCTCTGAAGTAAGTTTTTGTTTTTATCTAGTTTAGCTAAAAAGAAAAAAGTGGGGTGGGGATAAAAGCTAGAAAGAAAAAGCATATCCGGAACCGGAATAGATATTAGATAGATAGAGGATCAATGGGGGGTGGGGAGACGTCGAGACGAAATAGTAAGTAATTAAGCTTTTATTACAGAGATTAATTTAGTTATTCCATACAAAAATATGGTGGCGACTGTGTTTCAACTTTCAACTTTTTTTTTTTTTAATCAATTTGAAATTAATTAAGATGCATGGTATAGTTATCAATCAGTTCACAACATTAGGTTAATTCATGGGGGAGAGAGGTAATGAATGAATTGAAGAGGTGAATATTCATCTTTCATCATCCTCTCGAAGCTAAATAACGGGGTTAGCCGATGCCCCATCCCCACTCTGATGGCAGAGGAATTTGATCCCGACTGGCTCTGCTACGTGTACCAATTGAGCCACCATCGGTTGGTGGCTAGTGGGTGGTGACTGTCTGATTGATACCTAACTACAGGACCATGATAATATAAAGCTGGTTCGTTGTGTTTTACGTAACAGAACCATGATAACATAAGGTTCGCACGTCCCGTACGCGTGAAGAAAGCAATAGGCGATCAATTAGATTTCATCATCCTTTTCATCAATCAAAACACTCTCTTTGATTTGAAACAACGATCTTAGATTATCTATATTTAACAATCAAAATGGGTGTCTTTTTTTCCCCTTTCTCTTTAGTTAATATGGCAAAAGAAGGATCATTGGTTTGGATATAGAGAAAAATGAGGTTTTTTGGGATGGAGAGAGAGAGAGATGTTTGGTATCATATGAAGCAAAGAAAGGGTGTAAGAAGCCTTCATCATATTTTATATGGACAGAGTTTAATACCTATGTAAAATAAAAGGGGCCCAACTAACGAATGAGCCCATGTCATCAATTAGAAAAACGGGCCCCCCAGTTGAACTTTGTTCTTATTATCTAATAAAATAAATCAAAGATATGGGGAGTATTGATCTCAGTCCTTGATCGTATCATGTGTATCGGTTACTGAATGATGAGCCTTGATTAAATTGGGAGAGGCGTGGTGTTCATTTGCTTTCTTTTTTTTTTTTTTTGGTATTTTAATTGGGTATAACCCAGGGTTTTTGAAGACTTAATAAAATTATTTTGAGTCCCTTTCTTCTGATTCAGATGGTCCCCCAAACAGAGGGCACTGTAGTTAGAACCCAAACGTGGTTTGCTTTTCCTATAAAGACGAAAGAGAGAGAGAAGCCAACCGAAAAATAGTCTGGGAAAGAGGCAATATTAATCTCCTTTTTTGAAGTGCTGAATGGTTTAGACTTTAGAGTTGAAACTTTCAGGAACCAAAGAACAGGTAGGCTAGGTTGGAGACTTTGTGAGTGCTGAAGAAGAGATGCATCATGCATGCATTGGATGGAGCATGCGGATGTTAGAGACGTTGTATTTGAATTCATGATGAATTTCTGACTTTTGGAAACTTGTCATTAACTCCACCTTTTACTTGGTTTTCAGGTCCTTGCTTGTTTTCTTTCACTAGTAAAGAATATTGATTACAAAAAAGATTTTATCCACACTAGTGATAACGTGTCATGCGCAGACGCTCTCAAAACAGCCCCATTGTTTTTTAAAACAGATTGAATTAAATTACTTTAAGAAGCATAACCATAACCATAAATCCACCCCCCACAAAAAAAACAAAAAAATAATAATAATAACATAATACCCACCACCCTGCTTATGAATAATTTTCAATTTTCACAGATCCAGTAGCTAAGTTGACCCCCTCTCAATCTCTCCCCAATCGCTCATCCTTTGATGATTTAAAACCACCCTAGAACTTCACTAGGGTACTATTTAAGCCAAGATTTTAGCACTTTCAGATAATAGAATTTGTATATATTTCTCGTATAAAAAAATAAAAAGACATCATATTCTAAATCACTCTGTGTATTAACTTTGAATTGATAATAGAACAAGAAACTTTACTCATAAAAAAAACCACACTAAAACTCAAGGAAAAAAAAAAGGGAGCAAGGGTGAGGCCCCCCTGTCATCCGCAGATTAGCTAGCTAGGTAGTAGTTATTATATATTTATTGCTATCAAACCCTATTGATGTTTTACCATACCTTTGTAGATTTTAGAATGGAAATGACGTTGCTTCATCTTCAACCATCACCAGGATGGCTTTGCATGAGTTACAGCTATAAATAATACGTGACAAGGGTGGAGTTTCATATATGATCATTTCTGTGGAACTATTAACATGGGCCCGTTTGACAGGGCTGAGATGAAGGTTTAGCCAAGTTGGTTGATGATTCAGCTGCCTTGATGCGTTTGGTTTAAGTTAATCCGAGGAGATTGAAGTGGACACTGGACAGTCCTTCAAATGACTGATAGCTAGTTGATATGGGTTCTTTGGCTTTTTCATCAAACATATCTTATAGTTAGACCTGGCAAAAAGTTGACCCAATTCGTGAACCCGACCCAATCCAACCCGAAAAAATAGGGTTAGGGTATCATATTTAGCAACTCGAATGTGAAAATGACCCGACCCGACCCAACCTGAAAAAAACTGGGTTGGGTTGGGTTGAGTCATGGGTCAATCCGCTGACCCAATTGTCAAGTTTAATTGGGATTATTTATGCATTGTTAGAAGTTTTCACTCTTTAATTTTTTCTATTTAGTCTTTACTTTTTATTGTTTACTCTTTAAACTGTTAAATGTTCAAGTTTTTATTTTATATTTGGAATTTTAAGGTTAATTCTTTTATTTTTGACATTTTTCATATAATTTTTCTTTATTTTTAAAATTTTAATTATTTTTTGGGATGACCCGAATTGACCCATGGGTCAACCCTAACCCGAACATTTAGGGTTAGGGTCTAGCATTTGACAACCCAACCCAAAATTCAACCCGACCCGAAATCAAACCGAAAATACATTGACCCAACCCGAACCCGACCCACCAAACCAGATTGCCACGTCTACTTATAGTTTCTCCACGTAGAACCCACCTCAGAAAGACATAAACCGCTTGAAATGGGCACTAATTAAGTATAATTAACTAATGCTTTAGAGCGAGTCAAGTATCTTAGCATGGAAAGGGGAAGGAAAAAGCAATTAATTCCTCAACACCAATTAAAATTAAATGAATCAATGTAAGGTAATTAAAGTTATGTTTGGAATGTAATACGACCAGCGTTATCGTTTTGTTTCACAATTAGAATCGGAGAATTGGAATCAAAATGGTCATTCAGATAAAAATGAAATGAGAATTGAAATCAGCAGGAATATGATTTCATTCCTAAGAAAGGGGCAGAGAATGGCCATTCCCTCAAATGGGGAATGCCATTCCAACAGGAATTGGAATGGGAATGGGATTCCGATTCCACCCAACCAAACAGTTGGGTGGCATCCGCATTTGTGAAATATGCATGCTTGACACTTAACTTGGAGAGAATACCTTATCCACAATCATCTCATGCTATATACTTATTAGATCACCTCGGCTCCGTTTAATACAACAGCTAAGAGAAGAGGTGCGTGCTAGGACAAGAAAGACCAAGTGGTAGTCACAACAGCACCACTTCCTCACAGGGTTTAGTTGATGAGGTCCCGTGCGGCGCTCAATTTACGAAATCAAATAATAACACAACAAAGAAGGCAGACAAATTAGTCAAGATCTTTTGTATCATATTAAAAGAATCGTCAACGCTTGAGGTACAATCTCATATTCCTTGATGCCTTTTAAAACCATCAATATCATTGTTGAAAAGTTTTGGATTAATGGAAACGGATACGAATTGGTATACAATACAAATATAATTATTGTATTGATTGTTATAACTTAAATGAATCTCATATATGATGTGATAATACACATATCTCACCAACTTGTGTTAAAAATACAAAACGTTTCAGATAGAAACAACAACACGCTACCAAAAACAAATGTTATGTTTGGTTTTGTGGGAATTTATTAGAAAAATGTGGCCACATCAGCACCACTTAGGTGTTGGCATTTATTGTACATGAAAGCATTATTTGGTTTTAACATTTATCAAATAAACATTAAAAAATAGAAACACTTGGATTTATGTGCATGAATAGCAGTGGAGACGAATCAAGCCTTTCATGAGTTATTCAAGCTCAAGTCTAATACAGCTTGGCTCGTAAGGCTCATGAGCCTAATCAAGCATATATATATATATGTATAATAAAATATTATACATATAAAAAATAATATATGTAAATATGTATAAATAAAAAAATAAAAATATTATATATAATATGTTTAGTTTTTATATGTATAATAATAACAACTAATTTTTATAATTCTTAAATTCTTTATATTAAAAATAAAAAAAAAATATTTTTTTTACATTTATAATGTTTTACTTTTATATGAAGCTTGGCTTACAATTGATGAGTTCAAGCTTATGGGGTTTTGAGTTGAGCCAAACTCGAGCTCTACTCTCTAGCTCAAACCAAGTTTGAGCTTGAGCCTTAAAGGCTTTTTGGCGAGCTGAGCTTGAATAACCGAATATTTGGCTCGACTTGAGTCTACCCCTCTATACATGAGGCATTGGGGCAACTTCAAATTCTAGTTTCTCCTAACGACCCAACATTTAGGCTATGTTTGGTTTGAAGGAAAAGGTAGGAAAAGAAAGGGAAAGTCAGAGAAACCAATATAAGATTTGTAAAGCTTTTCCTATCTTTCCCTTCTTTTTCCTACATTTTTCTTCAAACCAAACAAGACATTATTAAAATGAAATACTTACCTGAAGCATTGTAAGTTGAGGTAAAAGATAGGTTCATGGGATGTTAATTGAAATGCTCAACCAAACAACAAAAAAAAAAAAAAAAACTTTTAAAACAATATTTTTCAATTAAACATTTGTGGTTATACGAAGAACACCCCACCTACAAAACGTGTATGAACAAAACACATATAAAATCTTGCATAGGTTGTTGTGAAAGAAGAACATACAA